TTTTGCTACAACTTTTTTGTTTGACGTAAATTGAATATTAAAAAATACGTCGGATAGCCTGGTTTATTTTAAAACTTTTACCTCTCTCATTTTTTTGCTTTAAAACTAACCATTTATATATTTTTTAAATGCATTATCATTCGCGCTACAACTCGCACGATTGCAACTAAGAAAAATTTAAGCAAGCGGCTGTCGTGCTAATTTCTGTCATTAGATCTTTTGTGACTCATAACAGTGTTTCCTTGGATTTGTTGCCCAATAATTTTATTTTTTTTGCGATAACTTGGCAAGAATTTTGGCAAATAATTTTACTAATAATGAATATGTTGATATACTGCAAGTATTTATTGAATGTCGGAAAAACTGTGCCGCGGCAAGAAAAAGCCATCCAAATCGCCCCACAGACAGCCAATACCATTTGTGCTACTTCTTTTGAAAACATCCTGTATACCTAATAAAAATATTACATGCGCGTCTCCTACTAAATTCAATTATGTCAAGTAAATTTGTCAAAAGAAATTACTATCGAACTTTTTTTTGTCATTGTAAATACCTTGAAATTTTATAGAAGACATATCCTATTCATTATATAGGGTGATTGATAACTTATCCAAGAAATTTGGGAATAGATCTATCTTTAAAAATGAAGTCAATAACGTAAAAAAAAATTGTAAAATCCTTATAGTTTCCGAGAAAAAAATTATTGAAGTTGTAGTATTTTCAACCTTTACATCGCTGGGCTACTTAGTCTCTAGCATCATTCGCCCACGTGGCCTCAAGCGATTCCGAATACTGAAATCCGATTTTAGTATTTTCGTTGTTGCGATAGTGTTTACTTTTTCAAGTGTCAAAAATAGTTTACGTGTATAGCAACTCGGAGTTGATGGACATCGTTTTAATTTATGATGAAGCAAGATAACATTTGTGTTATAGTGAAGCAAGACAACATTTGTGTTAGTTCGAAAAAATTGGGTCCAAATGTGTTTACACGTCGGTGGACAAAATTTTTGAACAGGTGTTGTAACATCAGTTATGTCAAATTATTTTATTAATTAAAACCACAAATTAATTTTATTAATTAATAATAACAATAACGTCAAAAGCAGTTGCATTTCCCGATATAAAATAGGTGGTATAAAATTTTATTTATTTCTTTCCTTAATTTTTTGTCCGTTCATTTTTTATTATACTCTGCCGCGGTACCGATTGCCTACCGCATGCTTTGTTTTATTTCCAGTGCCGTGCGAAAGTGTATATTTAAATCATTTTCGAACTGTTCTTTTTATTTTTTTTTTTTACAAAAAGTCCCCTGTACTTACATTTTACTAAAAAATTTTTTGGATAAGTTCTGAATCACCCTGTATAATTCAAAACCATGGCCAACTGCTACCATTATCTCTATGTAAAAAGTACCATCACGGATTTTTTTAAGGGCAAAAATTCCAATTAGGGTAAAAACTAATACAATTATGTACTTTTATTTTAAAAAATGGAAAATACCTTACTTTCCGTTTCTATTTTTAGTGAAATTTTGAAATACCATAATTATTAATCGAAGTTTACAGAATCAACTGTAAACTGAAAATAAATACAGGGTGTTTTTAAGTCCATACCATAAATTTAGGAGGTTTTCCTTGAATTCTTTCAGACATAAAAGTCTTAAAAGAATCAGACGTCTAAAGCCACACTGGCTTCTGATGTACAGTGTTGGAATTAAAAAAAATGTCACGTTTAAAAAATGTGTTTGAATATATTTAACGTAGATTGATAAAACTTCAACTATCAACTTAAATAATTAAAGGCAAACATTCTTATTACATTTCTTAGAAAAAAGTAGTACTCAGTGAAAAAGTAGATATGAATCTGATTTCTGGGGAAGCTTGAAAACATTTGAAATTAATAGTACGGCTTTATAGAAACAAACGATTTCTGTCAGCAGCGAATATAAACAACATTGAAAACATCTTATTTTCCATGGCAACTCTGATAAAAGTAACAGTAACAGACTTGACCGAACCTGTGTTTTTCTCTGTACTTATCATTTTGTATCTTTTGAACATGAAGAGAAAGAACTTTTTTAATAAAAGTTATTAAGAAAGATGACAACTTTCACTGGAAATAATTTCGATATCAAAATGATCAAAAGTCCTTGGGACAGAAAATTTGTATCGTCTTGCTATAACGTAAAAAGTGATAATTCGACGATTATTGTTCTCTTGTCACTCTTCAGTAACAGAAATGTGTTGCCTATAACTTTCCATCAAACATTCCAAAATATTTTTAAAAATCGTCGTCAATTTTCCTTGGTGGAACGTACCACAGCCAATAAATTACGAAGTAATAATCCTCTTTTGTGGCTCCGATTCAGTAATTTGTACCCATAGCATACCGCATCACTTTATACGTTGGCAATTATTATATCATAATTGTTGTGGGTTTATTATATCTTTATAGCGAGTGGTCTGTGACGCACATTAACGCCGATGCCGCCGCCGATTTAAAGAGAGTCATTCTTTAACGAGCTTTGTCCCATTTAATCACTATCCGGCGAATTTGTCGTTGATTGTTTGTCGGCCACAATAGCGCCGCATACCTTCCCTGGGAAATAAACGGCTTTTATTTGTTGAAAAAACGAACCGTGAATTTGATGTTTATAGACTGTGTTAAAATATAAAAGTATGAAGTTTTTTACATAGTAAGTTGACATTTCTTTTGTTTTCCTTATGAAATTAATGGAACAAAATTGGATTATAATCGAAATTCAAAATTGAAACTTGTAGATATTGATTTTATTGCCATTCTATTCAAATTTGTTATAAAGGTTATATGTTCAAAAGTGGGATGAATTAAATATTTATAATTGTTAATTGTCAGTTACTGAAGCATTTGAAAAACTTTGTCTGAACAAGCTCTACGTACCGAATATTACAAGGATTACACACAGCACTAGTTTCCTCAGCTTGCTATTTCCTTATAAATTTTCTTGCAATATCAGCATAAAAAAAATTTGTTCTTCAGGTATGAATGTTTCCTTATACCTTGGTTAAATGCTCCACTACCGCTATATTAATTAATTTTTAGTAAATTCCTCTATGCATATTACTAAATTTATTTCACAAAACAGTAGGTATGTTTATTCATAGGGACAATGCTCGTCATCAGCGACGACAGCGTTTTAAAAATATGGCCAAAAAGCTGCTACATCGCATCTACCACTGCAGATGCAGCATATGTGTTGTAAGCATTTTGTATGGCCAGGAAACCCAACGAACATAGCGCTCTGTGTGTTTGTAATAATGGCTACTTTTAGCGTTTAAAGTAAAGCTAAAATAACGCTCTGAGCTCCTGTAAGAAACAGCATCATTAACAGATGACAATCAATTGTTTACTGTATAACAGGTACAGAGAAAGTTATAACGTATTCTAAGAAATTTTTTTTATGAGATTTATTGAAATCAACGATATAGTGACTCGTAATTGGTATAGTCTTTCCGAAGTCAGTTGAACATGTATAAAAATGCCTAGCAATAAAATTTAATGAATTTCATAGGCGTCCATAAAAAGTTGTCTGCTAAATGTAAAAAAATTATAATAATTTGTATATAGGTAATATGTAGAAAATTTCTAGTTTCTAACAATTTTATTATATTGATGGTAAATTTTGGTTATGACATATCAAAAAACATTTACATTTTCATTAAAATATATTACTGCTCGGCAAGAACCAACGGGAAGGACAAGGTAAGGTTGTTAGTTTCGCTTAGAAAATTTATTAAATAAAAATAATCAACAATAAAATAATATAAATATATTGCATTGCTGCACTGCACTGCTAGGCAATTTATCAACAACTGAAATTTATGGCCGGTCGCCCAGTGTGGCTGTGTTTGTGCGTCGTTTGCCCGCGCGCGCTTTCTTGAACTGGGCGTGTACATTTCTACCACCTCCACGTTTAGTTCGATCAGACCTGTATATGGGTATGGCTAAATAAATATGGGAACAAGTTTTTCAAATATTTCAATGCCGAGTTGCTGCGTCAGCGACCGAACCTGGTACATACTGACTAGCTCTTTGGTCTTCAATTGATATCGGAAAGACTATATAACACCATATATTAATAATGAATTTAAAGATTTCCGTTTTTATTATCTTTTGCGAAATGTTGGGTAACTGGCAATAAGCAATATGTTTTCTACATAGTTCGTATAAATACAAATAAATACACAACATGCTTGCCATATGCAACAATTTTAAATAAATAAATACATACATGTTTATTAATTAGCAACAATATTTTCAGTTGTGATTAAGACTCGATTAACCAATTAAATTGTGAGTATAATGTCAGAGAGGCATTTCAAACTTCATTCAGATAGTAATTATTCATTACATCCATAATAATGCAGATTCACACCTTAAACTATGTATGCACAATAACGTCTGATGCTGTTCTACACTACATGCTCCGTAGACTATTCGTGGTTGCGCATTAAATAGTGTAGTAATAATATTTAATTTAAGGGAACACATTTTTACCTAAAAATAAGTGTTTACATGGTCCATTTCAGTCAAGTAGTAATGTAGTAAATATTTAGTTTCTTCTAATAAATATATCTTTACAACTATTGGACAAACACTAACATAATCTACAAAAAAATTTTTGAATAATTATTTAACTTTAAAAAATAAATATAGGTATATAAATGATATAGGTAAATAAATTATTTTATCTTTGCGTATTAATTAATACACTAATATATATTATATAGCAATAAATATTTGATATTTTCAATTTTAAAATTGTTACTGTTTCAAGCAAGATTTTTCTCTCAGTAGGTACGTCTTCATCCGTACTTAATTAAAACTGTGTTTTATATGCATTAAACATTTGAAAGACGGTAAAAACTTTAGGAATAGATTGGTAATAAAGTTACTATTATTTTGTGTTTATTTATAAAAATTTGTGATATAATTCAATTCAAAATAAAATTCCGTTCCAGGTTTACTGATTGAGGTACCCAAGGTAGGAGGGGGACAAGTACTTGTAATCAAAATTCGCGAAGTTACTTTTAGATGTGTCCATAGAGAAAAAAGTACTCGTTATCTACTTTAAATGTTTGTGGTACTATATGTACCTATAGAGTAAAACTGTATTAAACTAACTTGACAAACGATAGACACGTATGCATTGGGTTTATAAGCTGCATTACCGCACGTGTTCCCAAATATTTGAGTCTCTTCGATCAGTAGGATGTACTGCTGTTTGTTTACAATAGTCAAAAGGTACATTATCCAGTAGTTGTATATTTAATAAATTGTTTTTTAAAAGTGTTAATCAGGGACAATTCTACTACTGGGATTCGTTTTTCCAAAAAGAAATAGGAAGAAGCAAATGTATAAAAATTTCTTTAATAGATATTTTTTTTTATTTTTATGCCACATCTCAGCTCATCCACTTTTGGATACCTTATGATAGTAACCTATCGGTTTCAACATCAAATCATGGAATCGTATCTGTAGTACACTATACCAAAATTCTATCAAAATACACAAGGTGGTTTCAAAGTTAGAACCCATGCAAGACGTAAAACTCTAGGTACTCCTTTGGGGCCCGGTATATCCTTTGGGAGGAATATTAGGAAAAAATACAGTGTTATTTTGACTTCTCCTATACGAGAGATTACCAGATAGTTAACGAACACCCTATAATATGTTTTAGATTTTTCAATATCTTTCTGCACAAAACATAACCAAAAGGTTTCCACCATTTTATAACTTCTGACTTTAATACAGGCCCGGATCCAGAGGGGGTGGCGATGTGGCGATCGCCACCCCCAAAGCACAACATTTTTTAAAGATCTTCAATTTCTCCAAACGACAACAGGCAGTTAGTCGATATTAATGCAAGTCCCCCTTCCTAACCTACACCTTACGTCATCAAAAAAATAACAACAACAACAACAATAATAATAATAATAATAGTAATAATAATAATAATAATAAAGAAGTACTTTGCGCCACCCCCAAAACCAGTCTCTGGATCCGGGCCTGCTTTAATATAGCTGTTAAAAAAATGAAATATAGAACAGTAAACATATCTCCGACAACGATGCCATCTAAAAATTTTTATACACAATAATGCTGAAAAATAATTCCTGCATTGGGATTGGATGGCCCTGTAACTTCTTCCGTGAAATTCATATTCAGTTCTGGAGTTCTGGAGTTGTAGGGAGGGTAGCAAAGCTACAGCACTTAGGCGCCATTGGGCCCCTTGTACTTCCTCTCATTAGAGAGATCAATCCACCTGAGCCGCCAGCCTGTCTCGTCTTCCTGTTCACAGCCCCTACAAAGAGGTGTTTCAGACTTCCCCATATTGTAAAGGTGTTTCCTTAGTGTCCAGTCTGAATACCTGTCACCTGGCAAAGATTTGACCTAGACATGGCCAGGTATTTTTTGGCTGTATCTTTGCTAGGATACACTAAGATCTCCTTAGCGAAGTGACAGCTAATCGTTTCATCCCACCGTTTCATAAATTCTTTATGGGTGTCCTCTTTAATAATTCCAGCAAGTGCCGACAACGGAAGCACACTGGAGGGACCGGGTCCAAAAATATTGAGGCCCGATGCGCTCCTGGCTAGCTTATCAGCTTCTTTATTGCCATAGCACCGCTCGTGTCCCTTTACCCAGCATACAGATATGCTGTTAGCGGCCGAGGCCACAACCGGTGCTTCATGGCATTCCCATACTGTCCTAATCATTATCTTATGATTGCGCAAGGTCAGTAGTGCTTGTCTACTATCTGTGTAGATTCTGGTTTTACGCGTAGTATGCCTGCGGGCAATTTCCTTAGCGGCTATGGTTATACTTGCTAACTCCGTTTGTACAACGGTAGCGTGCCTATCCATTGCCCACTGATATCGGATGTGCAGGGATCTAGAGTATATTCCACATCCTGCACCCTCCTTCCTTTTTTATCCGTCTGTGAAGACGCTGATTACATCTCCACGGGTGGTCTCCTCCTGTCTCTTTGTGAGTACGGTGTAGGGTTTGTCAAATGCAAACCGGGGAGAAATACTATCAGTGTCTGCCTGCAGAAGGGGCGTCTTTCTGACGACCTCATTCCATAGGCGACTTCTAACTTCTCCGCATCCGGTTTTAAACCGACGTACTTGAGGCGAAGCATAGTTGTCAAAGCCATTTCTCTTAGATAAATATCCAGAGGTGGGAGACACAGCAATACCTCCATTGCTATGGTGGGTGTTGTTCGCATAGCTCCAGTTATGCTCAGACAGGCAATCCTATGTACTTGTCTGAACTTTTGTCTAGCTGTCGTCTGCTGGGACATTGGCCTCACTACGGCAGTGTATATCCACATAACCACATTTGGTTTCATGCCCCAGGTTTTGCCAACGGTTCTGCGGCACTGCTCATAGGATATGTACACCTTTTTTAATCTTCTTTCAAAGTGAAGATTCCATGTAAGCTTTGCATCGAGTGTAACCCCTAGGTATTTCACATCAGATGCAAAGCTTAGCGTAGTGTTTAGGAGAGTTGGTGCATTCATATTAAATGAAATACTCTTTGTTCTAGAACGGAGAAAACAGACGGGTTCACCAAGTAAGTAGATAGTAGTAAACCTACTAATAAAAGCAATACATTATAGTAAAAACAATACATTATTTTTTCTGAAATAGCAAACAATATTAATTAATCGATATGAACTAAGAAATTTTTATTAATGTCATTGCAATTTAACTGCTTATAAAAGCATTTCCTTGACAATGACTGTTTATTTATTGTTGTGATAAAAGTAATTTTCGTTTTAATACCTATAAGTGCTAAATTATATTCAAATGGACAGTGGTGATGATGTTCAGGTTTCCGGACACCACCAGAGTTAGTATTAGTTGCAAAAAATGTGACTTTAAATTTATTATCAAACAGATCTAGGAAAAAGTACGAATTCGCTTACATACGTATTATGATTGCATACTTTTCATGACTTATGGCCAAATTTCTCCATATTGAGAGCAACATTTAGTAAGTACAAAGGAAGACATTGATATATCAAAATATTTGAAATTACGTGTTTTTCTATAACGTCAAGGTGACAAAAAAGTCAAAAGATTGGTCAAATAAACAACTAGAAACGTCTATTGCTCAAGGACCATACTTAATGAATAAGGTACGTTTAGATGTGAAAATTTTAAAATATCAAGATATTAGCTTTTCTTTTTAAGTTATATAGATATAGATGATTTAGGATCAGAGCTTTTGATTAAAATACCGGATAATACAACGAAGAAACCGAGATCATTTGTGATAAACGAAACTTATATGCCACTATACAGTGGCATATGTTGCTTGCCGCCCAGAAAATGTTGAAAGTTGCCGCTTTTTCTTTAAATATTCAAATGGGAGAGATTGCGAGCAAGTAGAAATATATCAGTTTGGTAAAATGCCAGAAATTGTCGCAAAATTTTTAAATTGGTAAAATGCAGATAAATACACAGGGTGTCCGTTGATTTTGGTTAATGCTGGGGAAGATTAAATGCAATTGGCATTAAAGAGACATGGGGAATGAAAATCTTCAAACGTTTCCGAAAAATAAAGAGAAGAATCTTTACAAATAAACTAGATATAGCAGATAAAATATTTAGAGGGGCTGAGTAACAAAGAGAAATTTGCTTATAGTAATAATATTGTCGAAAATGAAATAATTAACAGCAATAATGTCGCTGACTTTTCGAGTAAAGTTCAACCAATGTTTAACAATTGTTCAAACTACAACACTACAACAAATAGTTGTAATAAACGTTCAATAAATGTAATATTTACTAAATAATGCATTTTTGATGTCATGCCATTTTCCATACTATTTGCTGGTGGTTGCTTATCAACGAACTAAAATACTAGAATACGGTATTTTGGGTTCTGAAATTGAACCCAAAAAGTACACATTTCCGAACGATTTCAGAAAAATATTTTTTTACCATAGTCGTTTTATCCCGCATTATACGAAATAACGACAATAGACATCCGCGCTCAACAAATTAGTGTCACAACGCGGAGTTGCCCAGTCCACGTTCCCCATTTGGGACCAAATTACCTGGTTTACGCGGCATGCCCCTTACAGGTTAACTCGAAAAGCCGGGTTTCTCGCGGGGAGTCAGCTGTGCGCGCAGTATGTAAAGAATGCTAATCGCCGGTGATGCGGTCGTGATCGGAATCGTAGATTGTAGATTGGAAAGATCGGCAGTGCCGCGAGCAGACAGGGAGCAGCGAGAGGCGACGTCGTCGGTAACGAGAAGGTGGTGGCGTGCCTGTGAGGCAGGTGCCCGGCGTGCGTAGCGATCCTGCTCACGAACACGAAAACGCGCTTTGATTACGGTGGTACTGGGGCAAATGGGTTCTAAGTTGATCCACTAATGCAAAATGTGGAGTATTTACGAACTTGGGGTGTTATTTTTAATGGGGGATGGGTCCTAATGAAAGAGGGCGATTGCTAAAAATTTATCTTAACATTATACCGGGAGATCCAGAATGATTGATGGCGCCGCTACTTATAAATGTTTTATGTGCCGCTCTCCTGTTATTTCCACTCTTCCTAGTTGGCAACATTGACAATGATTTACTTCGTTCAGTGGCGGGTTAAATGCAGTAGCAATAGGGTCACATAATCATTTTAATCATAAAAATACTACACAAAAAGCAGAATATTGGCAATAATTAATTTGAGGGGTTTATTAATTTGTTAAACTAACTAAGAATCGATTTTAACAATTATTTATCTTTCTTGTGTTTTTATGCAAACTACAAAAGTAAAAGCAACAATTTTTTAATGAATTTACATTTACTTTTCTCATTTAGAAATGCGAATAAAATAACGATTTAACTTTCTTAAATTCTAACATAAAAAGAACATGTGTCAACCGATGTCAATTGAAGAACCAAGAGGTTGGCAGTATGTACGAGGTTCGGTCGCTGACGCAGCAACTCGGCATTGAAA